GGGACGCCAGAGCCAAGGAGGGAGGTTGGATTCAGGGCCAGGGCAGGAGGACTGGGGCTCGGACCAGGAGCCAGAGGTCTGGGTTGGGGCGCGGAGGCCAGGGGATGGGGGGCAGGGAGACGACGACGAGGATGGGAGCCAGAGCCAGGGGGACGACGACGACGAACCACGAAAATAGAGAGGTCCGAGCTCTAGAACACAACTGTGCAAGATAATAAAATGCGAGGAAGTCTCGGGCGGGAGCGGGGTCCTGGCTAAATTGTGAGGAAGTCTCAGGCGGGAGCCGTTGTTGTTGTAACTCGGAGCCAGGGGCGCAGTTTGAGCATCAAGACTTTCCCTGTCAAAAAACAGGGTGCGAGCGCCAAGGGGCACACTTTGATTAAGAAAAAACCGTATGCACTGGTGAAGGGGGATCAGCAATAATTGTACTTCAGAAATGAGAGTTCAACAACGACAACAACAACAATAACAACAGCAACAACAACAACAACAACAACAATCATTTTACCCGAACGCTCAGTGTTCTCACCAGTGCCAGGGTTTTCATGCGACGCGAGACAATACCCCCACTTCGTGGGGGGGCAGTTCAAGCTCTACCAAATATCCAAACGACTCTACGCGACCACCCAAACCCAGCTTCCCGCCCTATGACGTTGGGACACTTCACTTCGTGGCGTGCGGACGACCGTGGCTACTACACTGGCGTGGGGTACACACCCACAGAACTTGGTCACTTATTCGGGGCGCGCGTGTGCCAAGCATCCTGCAATTGTGACATACAATACATGACACAGACAGACAGAGAGAGAGACAGAGAGCAGACAGAGAGAGAGACAGAGAGAGCGGAGTTGGTCACATTTTTGGGGCAAGTTCCTAAGATCGTCGTGTTTTTTGTTGGTCTTGCGCGCGCGAATGTCCACTTTACTTTTTTATGCAAAGGAAGAAATAAGAGAGAGTAAAGGAAGTTATAACAAGAAAGAGATATGCTCTGTCGCGTAGCTCAGGTATACAGAAAATTGTATGAAAAACATTGTTTTGAGGAGTCGTGACAGCGCGCCGCGGATGAAAATTTGGACATTATTTTATGAAAACCATAGTGGTTTTTGATGTATATAAGTTGAAATCGTTTACGGAACCTAAGGTTCCGAGAGGATTATCGTCTTGCGCGCGCGAATGTCCACTTTACTTTTTTTTGCAAGGGAGCATTGAAATTTGATTATGTTAGAACAAGAAAAAGTAGCTCGCGCGAGCTCACGTAACATAAATGTTGAAAAACCATTGGTTTTGTGGGAGTCGGACAGCGCGCGCGGAAGGACATTTTGACAATTTTTTCTTAAAAAACCATTGGTTTTTTGATGTTTTTATGTTAAAATCGTTACGAAACCTAAGGTTTTGGAAGGATTTCGTCTTGCGCGCACGAATGTCCACTTTACCTTATTTTTTGCAAGGGATTCTTGCAATTTGATCAAGTAAGAACAAGAATTTTCATTTTATAGTGTTTTTTGCTAGGGAAAACGGATTACAACAAAACAACCGGATCCGGTGACAATCCACTTTTCTGAAGCTTTCGCTAGAAAATGAAGGAAATGAGGCTGCGGCCTAGGTTTTGGAGGGGGGTCGCGCACCAGGGGTCTCAACAATAATATTTCTTTAGAAGTAATAATATTCAACAACAACAACACCAACAACAACAACAACAACAACAACAACAACAACAACAACAACAACAACAACAACAACAACAACAATCATTTTACCCGAACTCGTGGTGTTCTCCCCAGTGCCAGGGTTTTCATACGACACCAGGCAATACCCCCACTTCGTGGGGGGGCATTACAAGCTCTACCAAATATCCAAACGACTCTTCGCGACCACCCAAACCCAGCTTCCCGCCCTATGACGTTGGGACACTTCACTTCGTGTCGTGCGGACGACCGTGGCTACTACACTGGCGTGGGGTACACACCCACAGAACCCAATGGTTTTTGGAGATTTCGGCGTGCGCGCGCGAAGAAAAAACGAATGTGTCCCGCATGATATTATTTGACAGGGATGATGGCCCTGGCAGGTGCGCAACCGTTGTCGCAGAAGTTCGAAAAAGTTGCTCGCAAAAGCCCGTTTGACAAAATGTTTAAAAAGTGTTGGGTTTCCTACGAATCCGCAAGAGCGCGCGGGATGAGATTTTGACAATTTGTTGTTGAAAAACCATTGGTTTTTTGATGCTTTTATGTTAAAATCGCTACGAAAACTAAGGTTTTGGAAGGATTTCGTCTTGCGCGCGCGAATGTCCACTTTACCTTATTTTTTGCAAGGGATTCTTGAAATTTGATTATATTAGAACAAGAAATGTCATTTTCTATTGTTTTTTGCAAGGGAAAGAGGATTACAACAAAACAACCGGATCCTGTACACACCCTCTTTTCTGAGGCTTCCTCACGAAAATGATGAAAATGTAGCTGCGGCCTAGGCGGCGCAGGGGGGGCGCGCACCAGGGGGCCCAACAATAATTATTCTTTAGAATAAATAATTTTCAACAACAACAACAACAATTACTAGCACGTGGGGACACTCCGTTCTCACCAGTGCCAGGGTTTTCATAGGAGGCGGGCAATACCCCCACTTTGTGGGGGGGCCGGTTCAAGTTCTACCACATTTCCAAACGACTCTTCGCCACCACCCACACCCAGCTTCCCGCCCTATGACGTTCGGACACTTCACTTCGTGGCCTGCGGACGACCGTGGCAACTACACTGCGCAATTGGTACAGGGACTAGTGTGGTAACATTATCCTGGACGCTAGCTAGTATAGCGACTATACCCGTTCCAACACTGGACCACCTGTACTGTTTTTGGTTGGTAACGTTTTCCTGGAGAAAACCCAATGGTTTTTGGAAGATAACCGGCTGCGCGGCGGCCGAAGAAAAAACGAATGTGATCCGGCATGTAAATAATTTGAACAGGTTATGATGTGCCTGGCAGTGATCGCAAACCTATGTTGGATGAAAGTTCGAAGCACGTGAAAAAATTTGCTCGCAAAAGCCTCGTTTGAAGAAATGTTTTAAAAATGTTGGTTTCCTACAAATACCGCAAGACCGCGGATGAAATGAATTGACAACTAATATATTTTGAAAAAACCATTGGTTTTTAATGTTTTTATGTTAAAATCGCTCCGAACACTAAGCTTTTGGAAGGATTTCGTCTTGCGCGCGCGAATGTCCACTTTACCTTATTTTTTGCAAGGGATTCTTGAAGTTTGGTTATGTTAGAACAAGAAAAGTCCACTTTAGCTTATTTTCTGCAAGGGAAAACGGGGGACAACAAAACAACCGGATCCGGACACCCACGTTTTGCCTGAGACTTCCTCACGAAAATGATGAAAATGTGGCTGCGGCCTAGGCGCGGCGAGGGGGCCGCGCACCAGGGGTCCCAACAACAATTATTTTTTAGAATAAATAATGTTCAACAACAACAACAACAACAACAGCAGCAACAACAACACCCATCATTTTAAGACTGCCATTCAACAGGTATATCCCACTCCCCTGGTACCCGCCCTATTCGGTTTCGATCGTAGCCACCTTGGGGGCACATCCTCCCTATCTGCCGCGTGTAGTTGGCGCAGCCCCTAACATAGGGGAAGAGAGGACGGATGGAAAGGGGAGAGAGAAGGATGGAGCACGAGAGAGATTAGCAGGAGAAGGGCTAGGACCAGAAAACACGGGGAGGGTAGACCCTGATGTGCTGGCCGGGAAAGCGGGCACAGGCGGCCAGGTCGAGCAGGCGGGTTGCCGAAGCGTGAGCATGAATCGCGAGGAAGTATCGAGCGATAGCGCGACTCACAAATAAATCTTGAGAAAGGCAAGGGCGACAGCGTGATTCGTAAGGGGTGGAGGCGCGACGCCTGAATAAATTGCGACGAAGCCCCACGCGAGAGCGCGTTTCTTGCATACATTGTGAGGACGTCCCGCGCGAGAGCGCGTATTTGAAATTACTTGTGCAGAAATATCAAGCGGGAGCCGTTGTTGTTATGGGCCCAGTTTGGTGTCACCTCGCTTTCCCTCGTAAAACAGAGGGTGCGAGCTTTAGTTCCTGAGTTTTTGGGCCTTCAGGGCGTCTGAAAGTAAACCGTGAGGACGTATCAATCGGAAGCCGTTGTCTTCGCAATTTGGCCTTCATAAACTTGGGTGAATTGCGAGGGAGTCTTGAACAAAAGCGTCATTGCTGAGTACGATGATGCATATGACCAGGGCGCCCGCCATTGAATGACGAGGGAGTATCGAGCGGAAGCCGTTGTCGTCGCAGGTGGGCCTTCACAACTTACAATGAACTGCGCGGAAGTCTACATAGTAAACGCACTTCCTGAGTTCGAGGGCCTCTCTAGCCAAGGCGTCCCAAAATGAAGTGTAAGGAAATATCGAGCGGGAGCCGTTGGGCCATTACCAACTTGGGTGAATTGCGAGGAAATCTCAAGAGAGAGCGCCGTTCCTGTGTATGGGGCCTTCTTTGGCCAGGGCGTCTGGGAGTAAATCGTGACGAAGTGTCGAGCGAGAGTCATGGTCGTCACAATTGAACTTCCATCAACACACATGTGTCATAAACACCGCGTTCTATCGGGAGGCTCGGGTTCAAAAATATACCCAGCGTCAACGCGAGAGCGCCAGAACCGATTACATAGATCAAAAGGTATCCTCCTCCGACCGCGACAGCGGCGGCGGCGACGGCGACGGCGACGGCGACGGCAACGGCTACGGCGACGGCGACAGCGACGGCGGCGGCGGCGACGGCGGCGACGGCGACGGCGCTGGCGACGCGACGGCGGCGGCGGCGGCGGCGGTGGCGGCGGCGACGACGACGACGATGGCGACGGCGACGACGCCGACTACAACTGGCGGCGCCGCTGGCGACGACTACAGGCGGCCACGGTGGCGGTGGCGGTGGCAGCGGCGGCGGCGATGGCGGCGGCGGGAAACAGTCGGGGCGGGGCCCTGCGCGGCCGCGGCCTCGACGTATTGCCGGCAGACCTGCACCGAGACGCCTGCATCCTCGCCGCCACGGCGGGAGGCGCTGACCTACCCCTCACCCTCCAGTGCCTTCCACTCCCCTCCTCGCCCTTCCCTCCTCCTCCTGCTCCTCCTGCTCCTCCTGCTCCTCCTCCTGTTCCTCCTCCTCCTCCTCCTCTTCCTCCTCTTCCTCCTCTTCCTCCTCCTCCCCCTTTTCCTCCAGCCCCCTCCTCGCCCCTCCCTCCTCCTCTTCCTCCTCCTCCTCCTCGCCCTTCCTCCTCCTCCGCCTCCTTCGCATTTTCCCCTCCCCCTCCCCCTCCTGTTCCTCTTCCTCCTTTTCCTGTAGTTGTCGTCTTATGATGTTGCCCGAGTCGTCTTTACAATATTGGTATTATTCGTGTTAGTATCCGTTGTGTGATTATCAATAATATTAACATGAACATTAACATTTACATCGACATGAACAATAACATTAACATTAACATTCGCATTAGTATTCGTATGATTAATTACTCCGACGGAAGAACCCCACATAAGAATCCTCTGGGCGAATCTGGAAAAAGCCATCACCGTCGTCCTCGTGGTTGGTGAGGCGTCCTGGCTGTCTCTTCTGCGTATATTTCCTCTCGCCTTGGCGCGGGCCCCCCTTCCACTCCTTACGTTGTCCCCATCCTCGCCCCCCTGTTAGTTCCGCGCCCCGCCACCTCCTCCCCTTCCTGTTGCATGAGCGCGCATGTCGATGTTCCTCGGCGCCGTCGCCGCCACGGCCAGCACAGGCGCGTTCTCTACTGGTCACGTCGCGCAGCCGTTGGGACAACCCCGCGGGCCAGGCTGTCGGGACAACCCCGCGAGCCGCTGGCGCGCAAGACCAAGCCGTTGGGACAACCCCGCGGGCTTCGAGCGAGGCGCAGCCTCGCTCAGGCGGAAGGCAGCACGAAGCCCAGCTCTGCCGCGAGCTGCTTCGCCTCCGCCCTGTACAAAACCGTTCTCTTGTCGAACTCCAGGAGCGCCTTCCGCAGGGACGCCGGCGGCCCGCACTCCAGGAACTCTCGCGGCGGCGGCCGCAGGATCAGCACGTTCCGCATGCACGTGGCGCGGGAGAACATGACGTAGAGGTGCAGCCACCACTGCTCGTCCGACATGCCCGTGCGGCCAGCGTCCTCGTCTCTCGCGCAGTCGATGGTGACGCCCTTGCGCAGCGTCTGGCCCAGCGACAGCGTGGAGGTCAGGTAGGACGCGTGCGTCAGGGTGAACCCCGAGCGGCGCACGCTGTGCGCCCCCGAGCTCTGCCAAGTGAACTCCCTTTCGCTGGGCCTGAACATCAGCAAGCTCCGCGCCCGCGCCTCGGCCTGGCCGTCGTCGTCGGCGCCTTCGGCGCCCTGTCGCAGCACCTCGGCGACCTGAGGAGCCCAAAAACTTCCTTGTTGCATCCAAAGTGTGGCCTGGGA